CACAGCATTTGATCAAACACTTAGCGTGCCTACCGATTCCCGTGGCTCTTGGCCCCACTCGGCCCCGAAAAAGATCCATGGTGGCCCTGTCCCCAGGGGGGTCGCCAAATTTGATCGCAAGGTCCAGCTCGTGCTGTCGCTGTATGCTGATCTCAAGCATATCGGCTAAAAGCGAGGGAGGGGTCTGATCGATCTGAACAATGAGTCCATTGTGATCTTTCCACTCTAGTACGGCCTCCCACCCAGCCCTCTGGAGTACGATCACCGTTCGACGCATCGGGCCACACGAGGAGCTCCAAGGGCCACCTTGACGAGGCTAGGCCGAGTCCCGGAGCCTAAGGAGTTCAGCCTTACTGACTAGTGCTCTCTGGGGCTGGGTGGATGCTAACCGAATCGTCCTGCACCAGTGTACAGCAGGGGCGACTGCAAGCCGAGAGCTCTTGTCTCCTAGCAACACGAGCTTAGCAGTGAGAGACACTTCCCCGTGACAAGGGGCGTCAGCACCACACATCATAGGCTGGTGGGAAACCCACTCGGCCTGGCTAAGGCCTAAAACGTCGGCGCCAAAACTGCTTGCAGGAGCGACCCCTGCACGGCAGAGCTTGGAAAAATGGGGCCGTTTTGTTTCCCTTAAACCGGCTCTGTTTATATATAAATATACACATATCAAACTGACCTTACGAAGCCTTATCCTCATGCCAGCTAGACGGCTGGCCTGCTTCACACGAGTGCCTGCTGCTCGCCGCTGTGCACCAGCAGCTTCGTCGACGCCGAGGTAGGAGATGCTCTGCTTCAGCGTCGAGTGCGGCATCCCGAGCAGGTCGCACACGTCCTTGCCCAGCTTCGTGGAAGAGGCGAGCAGCCCTACCTTGTCGATGTTGAGCTCCGCAAACAACTTCGCCGACGTTTTTTTGAAATTCGGCCATCGCCTGCACAGCTACCTTGCAGGCTACCTCCTCATCGCTGGCTCCGTTACTGATTGCACTGTCGTCGATCTAGTTCAGGAAATCTACAGCAGGAAACGGAGAGGGAGGATGGGTATCGTTGGAACGCGGATTTGCAACGACACATGGTGGTGTAAAAGCTTCCGGTCTAAAATTTGAGAACAGCGATGCGTGGCAAAATTTAATTGTTACCGTTCAGGAGCCAGGGTCGGCGATCGAGGAGGCGAGGGAATCCATGCTGCTTATGATTGCACAACCTTGCAAACACATAGTTGGAATACGGCGTCTTTCAAAGAGTACGTCGCTGAGGTATCTTCTTCCGCCCACGTCGCGCTGTGATGAATTCGGCATCCACGTCAATATGCGTCTGGATTGGTATACCTGACAACGCGAGGCCTCGACGAGGTAGTTAAAGGCTGCACAACATGTCGGAAACTACCTGCGTGCTCATGTTTAGTGCGAATATGCTTCCGCACGAAATGGCATCCAGTTGAGGCTTGTACAGTGATATTATTTATCGTCGAGAAGACGCATTTCATAAAGACTACAACTGGACAGAAAGAGAGAGTGGCTCTGAATCAACTTACCTACGCGTACGGAGCTGGTTTTGAAGTGGTTGCCCGGCGACGCAGGGGATTATTATACTGTTCGGCAGTGCGGGTCTTGATTTCGTCAATGTTTTTTGTCCCACGTAGCTCACATTGCAGACAAGAGACACCCAAATGTCGCCTCGGCTGACACTCTGTCCGCATCGACGAACTGTGCTGACTGTGCCAGAAATATGAAAAGCATGGTGTGAGACCAGAACGAAGAGCAACCAAGAAGTTGGAAGAGGGGACAGGACGGAGGACATTGAGAACAGCGAGAGCAGGAGACAAATGTTAGAGCACAGATGGATCATGCTTGATGGACGAGCAGCGCTTGAATTCTTCAAGGTGTGAGACAAGTTCAAACGATGTGTGCCAAAGAATTCTGTACACGCGCTGCTGGCTGTACCTGTTGCGCGTGCCATTGAGGATGTTAGCAAACATAAGACCGGACTTACGCACAGCATACAGTAGACAATCCATTTTGACCGAGGATGAAGCAAGAGGTGCCCAGACAGTCTGCATGTCTGGTAGGGCAAACGTGTCTTGCGATAGCGTCCACGAGACCATTGAGAAACGAGAGCCGATGCAATCATGTTGAGATGGGGCGAAACAACAACAATAATCACAGCTCAATTGAAGTCGATTAAAATGCACGCACTCCCTGCTGCGAGCACAAGCATTCACTTGCCAACGCTTCGGCGCAAGCTGGAATCTGTTCAGCTTTCCTCACCTGCGGGACCGCTCAGACAAGATCTTCGACCACTCCTGAGATGCAGACGGCGCAGCGGGACCGGAATCACCAGCACGTTTGCGGCGACGGGGTCGGGGATTGGGGGTGCCGATCATGTGCACGACAGTTGCTTGCGGAGTCTTCATTTGCACTTTATCCCGGCTGTCGGACCAAACATGGTGCAATATTTTGTGTTGATCGTCTCTTTTGATTTTGATCGTGAACCCTCCATCCTGCCATTCGATACCAGTCACCGTGCCAGACACAGGATTGCCGCCGAAGGATCTGCTGACCGAGAAGCCCAGAACGTCACGGGGCTCAGCCCTCGGTGCCAGCGGCGGGGAATATTTTTCACGATGCCCCTCGTGGCCGTGCTCCCGGAAATCACCACCCACCAAACCACCCCAACCCAACCCGAAGGCTCAGATTTACCCTCGATTTCTAGTGGGGGGGGGGTCCGGGAACATCGAAAAAACATGTGGAACCCTTACCCCCCCCCAACCCGAAATTCGGGTCTTCGGGTTGGGTTGGGGTGGTCTGGTAGGTAGTCAGAGCAGAGTCATCGTGGCCGCGCTTTTGATGCGGTGGAGTGTGTCCCCGCTCCCTCCTCCGCTGCAGGTGCTGCTGGGCACTCCTTTCCCTGGCAGGAGTGGCGAGCCCCTCGCCGCTACCCTTCCGACGGCGGGTGTTCTCTTTCGTCATCACCAGCACCAAGTGGCAACAACAGACTGGGTAGTCGAAGGCCAGACTGTCAGATTGGATTGGGCCCCAAGGGCCAATCTGGCCTGGCCAAACTGTATGATCTGGGTTATTCGCCAGACTGGATTCGCGTCGGCTCCCTCGCCAGATTGCCCCCGTTTGCCGGATTGGGCCTGCCAGATTGGCGCCAGATTGGCTTCGACTACCCAGATAGAGTGATCTCGTCAACGCGATTCCTGGACACTTTTTACCGTCCAGCGAAGCCCAGTGGCACAGGAGGACACAGCAGAGAGGGAGGAGGAGGGGGGAGGGGAGACCGGGAGGAAAAACCGCATGGGCCCACTCTTCATGGACCGCGGAGGGGGAGACCGATTCCTGGACACATCCCACTCTTCATGGGCGCGGATGAAGCAGGGCACACAGGGTTCCTTACGCGTCATCTCTTTGAGACCGGGCGTGCCAGTGGCAACTGCGACAACCTCGAACTTCTCCGGGTCCTCATCGTGGAGTGGAAGGAACTTCCCGTCGTAGCTGCCAGTGTTTGATTCGCGCATGTCGATCACCTGGCCTGCAAAAATCCTCACGGGACCAGGACGGGGCATCATTCCATCGAACCGTCAGTTCACATCGGAATTTGAACGGATACATTGGCGGGGGGAGAGGAGCAAAGGGATCCATCGCTGAACATGTGGCAAGTCTATGAAGGAAGAGCATACAATACCAGATTTGCGGGGATCAAAGGATTGGAGCGAGCAAGGCAAGATCTTTTTTCCAACAGCATTTGACAATGTTTCGACTACTTCACTGGGCTGTAGCCTGAGCGCACAACGGTCATGGAGGCAGCAGCGAGCGAGACAGGACGGAAGACAGGGAGAGCGGATAAGGATGGTGTGAGCGCAATGGAACTACACATGCGCGCAAATTCGGTCCAGATTGCTGTTGCGACATATAAGCATGCACAACAGAGCATGTGTGTCTGCACTCCTCCTGCGCAGGCGGGCAGCACCCGGGGTGTCGGAATCACTCGCACCACACCAGCAAAGGATATGTGATTGTAGATCTCGATGGGCACATGCAGGGAGCAGGAAGAGGGAGGGAGCAGCAAAGCAGGGGTTTAACATTGATTGTCCATGTCGCTTTGGCACGCACAAGGGCACGAGACACGCAAGAGAGGTAAGAATACTTCGACACCAATATCGACATAGTGAAGTCGAGTGCCTTCCACGGGAAGTCAAGGCATCGCCATTCAAGGATCAGAGACGTAATCGAACATTCTGGGTCGACAGCCAGCCATCGATCCACACGTCGAGTGACTAAGCCAACCACGCTGCCAATGTTTCCCTGGAAAGACCGATTCGCATGCCAAGCTTGAGAACGAGGGAAAGGGAGGAAGAGGGGGAGAGGAGCAGCAAGCAGATCGACATTGCGGATGTGGGGCCGCTGGACACGAATCCAACAAGACACCGAAACCAACGAACATTGCAGGATAAGTAGACCCCGTCATGCCCGCGTATCCAGGGGCGCCCCGCTCGTCGACTCACGAGCAGCTCGCAGCTGACATAATATTCTCCACGGGTTTCCCGAAAAGTGCATCAGGGCTGTGAGGAGCGTGCTGGACAGTTCTGCTTCCAAGAGGCCCTGGCCTGGATGGCTGTCGGAGTTCCTCAAGAAGAGGTTCCCCCCGAGAGGGCTTGGTGGATTTCATTGTTTACCTAGGCTCAGCCATGCCCGCCCTGTATCCAGGGGCGCCCACTCACAGTTTGTCTTCTTATGTTTCTTCTTCGTCGTTTACTTCGTAGTATTATTGTTATGTGTGTTCTTACTCTTTCGTACTCTTCCGGTGTTGCGACTCACGCGCAGCTCGCAGCTCACATAATATTCTCCAAGAGTTTCCCGAAAAGTGCATCAGGGCTGTGAGGAGCGTGCTGGACAGTTCTGCTTCCAAGAGGCCCTGGCCTGGATGGCTGTCGGAGTTCCTCAAGAAGAGGTTCCCCCCGAGAGGGCTTGGTGGATTTCATTGTTTACGTATGCTCAGCCATGCCCGCCCTGTATCCAGGGGCGCCCACTCGCAGTTTGTCTTGTTATGTTTCTTCTTCGTCGTTTACTTCGTCGTATTGTTGTTATGTGTATTCTTATTCTTTCGTACTCTTCCGGTGTTGCGACTCACGCGCAGCTCGCAGCTCACATAATATTCTCCAAGAGTTTCCCGCAAAGTGCATCAGGGCTGTCAGGAGCGTGATGGACACTTCTGGTTTCAAGAGGCCCCCGCCTTTATGGCTGGCGGACTTCCTCAGAGGAAGTTTCCCGCAAGAGGGCCTGGTGAGTTTGACCGTTCAGGTCCGCTTTCTTTTTGTTCCTGCCCGCAGTTCGCTTTTTTCTTCTTCACTTCTTGACAGAAGCGGAGACGAGGAGGCCTCCTCCTCCGCCTCCTCCTGCTACTCCTCCTGGTTCTCCTGTGAGCCGTGTCCCACTGACGCGGCGACGGCTGCATGCAAAGCGCGCGCTTCCGCGCGGTGGGGGGCCGTGTGGCACGTGGGCCCGCCAGCTTGGAAGCTCCGTGCTCCTCCTCCTCCTCCTCCTCCTCCTCCTCCTCCTCCTCCTCCTCCTCCTCCTCCTGCGCTCGTGTTCTCCTCCTGATCCTCCACCTCCTGCTGCGTTTTTTGCAGAGCCTGTCGCGTTCTGCCAGTGGCACGAAAGATCACCGAGAAAAAGACGGCACAGGGAGGGCCCCGCCCCACAGGGCAACGAGCGGCTCCCAGGAGAGCCCCAAAGGGGACCAGAGGAGGCTCCCAAGAGGGCCCCAAGAGCGCCCCAAGCCGGGCCAAGCCCCTCAAGACGGTCCAAGAAGGCCCCGGGACGGCCCAAGAGGGTTTCGAGCCCAAGAGGGCCCGAAAATAGCCGAAAAGATCCCCAAGAGGATCCCAAGAGGCCTTCAAGATGCCCCCAAGAGGTCGTACGAGGCCCCCCCTAAGACCTTCAGCGACACAACCTCAGGAGCGAACGGTGATACAAAAAGCTAGGATTTGACGGACAGAGGGCTAGCGAGAGAAGTTCTGCACAGGGCTTTAGCCCCAATGGGGGGGTACGGGGGGGGGAACCGATTTGTCTAACACGCCCTCTGGGGGCCATGTTGGCGGCTTTTTCGGCCCACGACGCTCCAAGGGACACCCAAGAGGCTCCCAAGACGGCTTCAGATATTTCCAAGACGGTCCAAGTGACGCCCCAGATGCCCCAAGACGACCCAAGAGCACTCCAGGAGGGGCAACAGTGGCCCCGAGCCGGCCTTAGAAGCCCCCCAGTCGCCCCAAGAGGCCCCCACGAGGACCTCCAGCAGGGACTCAAGAAGCAACATTTATCCTGGCGAGGGTCCCAACCATGTGCAGTTGTGAGTAACACAGTTGTGGGTATCGACCTCGGTGAACCTCTCTGGGGTCACGACGCGTGTGACGAGTCTGCCAAAATTGACACGGGTACGCCATGCAGGCGCTGCCACCAGAGCCGTCGGTGGAGCCCCATGTGAGGCCACGGAACGTATGAGGGGTTCGCCCGAATGCAGGGTGAACCGCGTGCGGGCGCTGCATCTACTAGGGCCTTCGGTGGAGCTCCCTTTGGGGTCACGAAAAGTGTACGGTGTGCGCCGAAGTGGAGGTGGAACTGCATGCGGCCCCTGCCACCGGGGACTTCGGCGGAGCATCATATGGGGCCATGAAACGTGCGAGGGGTGCGAGGGATTGGGGGTGGAACAGCATGCAGACCTTGCCACTGAGGCCTTCGGCGGAGCACCCTATGGGGCCACGAAACGTGTGAGGGGTGCGCCGAACTAGAGGTGGAAATGCATGCGGACCCTGCCACTGGGGCCTTCGGCGGAGCACCCCATGGGGCCACGAAACGTGTGAGGGGTGCGCCGAAATGGAGGTGAAACTGCATGCGGACCCTGAGACTGGGGCCTTCAGCAAAGAACCCTACGATGGGGCCGCGCAAAGTGTGAGGGGTGCGCCGAAATGAGGATGGAACTGCATACAGACCCTGCCACTGGGACCTTCGGTGGAGCTCCCTATGGGGCAACGAAACTTGTGAGAGGTGCGCCGAACTGAAGTGGAGCTGCATGCGGACCCTGCCACTGGGACCTTCGGCGGAACACCCTATGAGGCCACCGAACGTTCGAAGGGTGCGTCAGAATAGAGGTGGAACAGCATGCGGACCCTGCCACTGGGACCTTCGGTGGAGCTCCCTATGGGGCAACGAAACTTGTGAGAGGTGCGCGGAACTGGAGGTGGAGCTGCATGCGGACCCTGCCACTGGGGCCTTGGGCGGAGCGCCCTATGGGGCAACGAAACTTGTGAGAGGTGCGCCGAAGTGGAGGTGGAGCTGCATGCGGACCCTGCCACTCGGACCTTCTGTGGGGCTCCCTATGGGGCCACGACGCGAGTAGGGGTTGGGCCGAAATGGGGGTGGAACTGCAAGCGGACCCTGCCACTGGGACCCTCGGTGGAGCACGCCATGGGGCCACGCAACGTGCGAGGGGTGCGCCGAACTGGAGGTGGAACTGCATGCGGACCCTGCCACTGGGGCCTTGGGCGGAGCTCTCTATGGGGCCACGAAGCGTGTGATGGGTGCGCCGACATTGGCATGCGAGAGGGCAGAGGCAGGGATGGGAGGAGGGAGGAGGAGGATGAGCGCAGGAGGTAAGGTGAGGTGAGACGAGGGGCGCTGTCTCTCCAAAACGAGGACCCAACACCACAGGATGCTTGGGAACAACATATTCCCTTAGGCCTTTGACGGTTTTTTGTGGGTTCTCGCATTGTCGGGCCAACTGCCAAAGACGCTCTTTGGGGCCTCCGAGGTCGCCCCAACACGTCCCCACAGGCTCCCCAGTGGCCCTGATGACATCCCGAGAGAGCTTCAAGACGGCCCACGACAGCCCCAAGACTGGCCAAGGAGGGCCCCACAGAGGCCCAAGAGGCTCCCAGGAGAGCTTCAATGGGGCCACAGGAGGCTTCCAACACGGCCCCGCGGGCGCCCCAAGCTGGCCCAGGCCCACCAAGACGGCCCAAGAGGGCCCCAGGACGGCCCAAGAGGGCCTTCTGACGGCCCAAGGGGGCCCCACAATGGCCCCGAAGACCCCCAAGAGGCCTCCAAGACGCCTTCCAGACGCCTCTCCGAGCCTCCAGTTGCCTTTTGAGCTCTCGGAGGCCGCTTCGCTGCCACGGCTGGGCATCTTCCCTTAACGGAGCCGCTCTTTCCGGGATCCCGTGCCGGCCCAGGTCGAACGCGCCCTCCGGGAGTCGTCCAAGACGGCTTCCGAGAGACCCGACGAGGGCCCGAAGACGGTCCAAGAGCGCCTCCAAGAGGGCTCCTGCCGAGACGCCCCCAAGAGGCCCCCGAGAGGGCCCCCAAGAGGGGTCGGGGCGCGGAGCTGGTCCCCGGGACGAGATCCAGACCTCGGTGGGCGCGAGGGGAGAGGCGGACCCCAGGAGAGAAGGGGCCAACAGCCGCGACGCCGGGTGCCCGGGGAGTCTTCGGAGCCCTTCTACCAGAGCCGCCTGCCCTCCCAGAAGCCAGAAGGCCACCCCCATCCTCCTCCCCCTCCTCCTCCTCCTCCGAGGTGCTGGGGTTCAACGTCCGTGGGTCTCTCTTCCAGCGTGTAGCAGGGCAGCAGCATGGTTGCCGAAAGGCGAAATGTCGAAAGGGTGGCGAACAAAGAATTGTCGACCCAGCCCGAGCCAGCGTTTTTTCAACCAGTCACGAACGGTCTTGAAGGGCTTGAGAACTGAAAGAACTCCTCCTCCTCCTCCTCCTCCTCCTCCTCCTCCTCCTCCTCCTCCCCCTCCTCCTCCCTCCTCCTCCTCCTCCTCCTCCTCCTCCTCCTCCTCCTCCTCCTCCTCCTCCTCCTCGTCCTCCTCCTTCTCCACCTCCTCCCTCGCAATGTATCCCTGGCCAAGGTGCGGTCAAGGCTGCCCCCCCGCCGCCCTCCCTCTGAGCGCGCCCGCCAAAGGCCAGTTCTGCGAGCTGTGCGCTGCCGTGGCCGGAAGGGGCCCCCGGTAGGCCCAGGAGGGGCCGGAGCGCCAACGTCACTCCCCGACGAGCGCTTTCCACTGCTCGCAAAGTGCCAACTCGCAAACGTCCGAAAAGCGCCCTGTCTTCCTCCTGCGCAATTGTCTAGGCCTCCTAGATGGGGTCGGAGTAGATGGGGTCGGAGGATCGCACCGCATCGCCGATGCATCGGCGATGCATCAGCGATGCGGCTCGATTTGGGTTCCAGTTTTATCCACGCCGACGTCGCCGATGCATCGCCGACGTCGCCAGTGCATCGCCGATGCATCGCCGATGCATGGGCGATGCATCGCCGATGTATCGGCGATGCGGCGCAATCCTTCGACCCCATCTACTCCGACCCCATCTGGGAGGCCTCTAGCAATTGATCGTGGGTCCGGCGCGGCGGAGCCGGACCGTTTGCGAGGAGTTCCCTTGCCAGTCGTGGAACGCGCTTGTCCAGTCACTCCCTCCTCCCTCCTCCTGGCTCCTCTCACCACCCACCACACCACCCCAACCCAACCCGAAGGCCTCAATTTGCCCTCCATTTCCAGTTGGGGGGGGGTCGGGGAACATTGAAAAACAAATCCCCACAAAGCAACCTAACAGCGATGTGTAGGAGCATATCTGGAAGCATTCCCCTTAAGATTCAGATGAGAATCCAGTTGTAGAACTCTGCTGCTCTCGCAGTCGCAGTCGCATTCGCGATGACAGTCGCAGTGGCAACGGCAGTCGCAGTCACAGCCTCAGCCTCAGCCTGCCTCAGCATCAGCCTGCCTCAGCCTCAGCCTCAGCCTGCCTCAGCCTCAGCCTCGGCCTGCCTTCAGCCTCGGCCTCAGCCTCAGCCTGCCTCAGCCTCAGCCTGCATCAGCCTCAGCCTCAGCCTGCCTCAGCATCAGCCTGCCTCAGCATCAGCCTGCCTCAGCCTCAGCCTTCCTCAGCCTCAGCCTCGGCCTCAGCCTCAGCCTCAGCCTGCTTCAGCCTCAGCCTCAGCCTCAGCCTCAGCCTCAGCCTGCCTCAGCCTCAGCCTGCCTCAGCCTCAGCCTCAGCCTCAGCCTCAGCCCTCAGCCTCCTCAGCCTCAGCCTGCCTCAGCCTCAGCCTCAGCCTCAGCCTCAGCCTCAGCCTCAGCCTCAGCCTCAGCCTCAGCCTCAGCCTGCCTCAGCCTCAGCCTCAGCCTGCTTCAGCCTCAGCCTCAGTCTGCCTTCAGCCTCGGCCTCAGCCTCAGCCTGCCTCAGCCTCAGCCTGCCATCAGCCTCAGCCTCAGCCTGCCTCAGCCTCAGCCTGCCTCAGCCTCAGCCTCAGCCTGCCTCAGCCTCAGCCTGCCTCAGCCTCAGCCTCAGCCCAGCCTCAGCCTCAGCCTCAGCCTCCTCAGCCTCTGCCTCAGCCTCAGCCTGCATCAGCCTCAGCCTCAGCCTCAGCCTGCCTCAGCATCAGCCTGCCTCAGCCTCAGCCTCAGCCTGCCTCAGCCTCAGCCTCAGCCTGCTTCAGCCTCAGCCTCAGTCTGCCTTCAGCCTCAGCCTCAGCCTCAGCCTGCCTCAGCCTCAGCCTGCATCAGCCTCAGCCTCAGCCTCAGCCTGCCTCAGCCTCAGCCTGCCTCAGCCTCAGCCTCAGCCTGCCTCAGCCTCAGCCTCAGTCTGCTTCAGCCTCAGCCTCAGTCTGCCTTCAGCCTCGGCCTCAGCCTCAGCCTGCCTCAGCCTCAGCCTGCATCAGCCTCAGCCTCAGCCTCAGCCTGCCTCAGCATCAGCCTGCCTCAGCCTCAGCCTCAGCCTGCCTCAGCCTCAGCCTCAGCCTGCTTCAGCCTCAGCCTCAGTCTGCCTTCAGCCTCGGCCTCAGCCTCAGCCTGCCTCAGCCTCAGCCTGCATCAGCCTCAGCCTCAGCCTCAGCCTGCCTCAGCCTCAGCCTGCCTCAGCCTCAGCCTCAGCCTGCCTCAGCCTCAGCCTCAGCCTGCTTCAGCCTCAGCCTCAGTCTGCCTTCAGCCTCGGCCTCAGCCTCAGCCTGCCTCAGCCTCAGCCTGCATCAGCCTCAGCCTCAGCCTCAGCCTGCCTCAGCATCAGCCTGCTCAGCCTCAGCCTCAGCCTGCCTCAGCCTCAGCCTCAGCCTGCTTCAGCCTCAGCCTCAGTCTGCCTTCAGCCTCGGCCTCAGCCTCAGCCTGCCTCAGCCTCAGCCTGCATCAGCCTCAGCCTCAGCCTCAGCCTGCCTCAGCATCAGCCTGCCTTCAGCCTCAGCCTCAGCCTGCCTCAGCCTCAGCCTCAGCCTGCTTCAGCCTCAGCCTCAGTCTGCCTTCAGCCTCGGCCTCAGCCTCAGCCTGCCTCAGCCTCAGCCTGCATCAGCCTCAGCCTCAGCCTCAGCCTGCCTCAGCATCAGCCTGCCTCAGCCTCAGCCTCAGCCTGCCTCAGCCTCAGCCTCAGCCTGCTTCAGCCTCAGCCTCAGTCTGCCTTCAGCCTCGGCCTCAGCCTCAGCCTGCCTCAGCCTCAGCCTGCATCAGCCTCAGCCTCAGCCTGCCTCAGCATTCAAAATGTGGCCCGGGAATGGAGCTCTGGGAACTCGAAGACCACGAAGTGGCCTACAGTTGGCTCTGGGCATTCAAAACCATGCCCAGGAATGGAGTTCTGGGAACTCGAAGAGCACGAAGTGGCCTACAGTTGGCTCCGGGCATTCAAAATCATGCCCAGGAATGGAATTCTGAGAACTCGAAGACCACGAAGTGGCCCACAGTTGGCTCCGGGCATTCAAAATCATGCCCAGGAATGGAGTTTTGGGAATTCGAAGACCACGAAGTGGCCCACAGTTGGCTCCGGGCATTCAAAGTCATGCCCAGGAATGGAGTTCTGGGACCTCGAAGGCCACGAAGTGCGTAACTGTTCGCTTAAAGCGACTTCCACGGCTTCTCCCCGGATCCTCCCCGGACCCCCCTGGGGAGTCATGATGTCTTCTTTTGAGACCATTAGAAACCTATCAGTCTTCGCTGTTAGGTAACACATATGGAACCCGTACCCCCCCCAACCCGAAATTGGGGTCTTCGGGTTGGGTTGGGGTGGTCTGGTAGGTAGTCATCCTCAGGGTCCAATCGCTGTCTGGGCCCCCGCTCGGCTCCCGGGCCGCCGCTCGGAGCTGCGCCAGGCTCCCCGGAGGCCTCCCGACGAAGCGCGGTGGCTGGGGAACACATCGGGGCCAAGAGAATTCAAGGAAGGCATAGCAGTTGCTCTTGTGCTTGCAAGGGCCCTGGAAACGACAGGGCAGTTTTTTACCGGTTCCGTTTTGCCGTTTCTTTGCCGGTTCCGACGCCGTTTTTTGACCGGTTCCGTCGCCTTTTTTGACCGGTTCCGGCTCCGGTTCCAATCCCGGAGCCGTTTTTTTGCCGTTTCCGGTCTTTTTTTTTGCCGTTTCCATGTTTTTGCCACAAAGCTCTCGTGCGCCGCCCACCTTCTTCCTGCTAGTTGCGCGCGTATGCTACATGATAGTGACGCCATACATTTAGTATCATAACATAATTAGCAAGGCGGATCGAAAGACAGAGAGAACAACACACAACAAGGGAGAATGTGAAGACTGCGTTTCTGTCCCCAGTTTCGCTCTCGTCGTTTTCCTGCCGTTCTCCATTTCCCCATTCCCTCCTCTTCATTGTTGCTTGTCCTCATCGCCCTTCCCTACGAACCCTCCCCCGTCCTCCTTTGTTGTTTTGTTGGTGGAGGCTCCTCCTTGGGGGGGATCCTAGAGGACCTCTCATGGGCTTATTTGGCTCTTCTTGGGAGCCTCTGGAGGCCTCCTGGGAGCCTTTCGGCTGCCTCTGGGAGTTCTTGGGGCCATCTTGCTGCCAACCGAGGCTTCCCTCAACAGGTCCCTACGTGGAACGTGGAGTGCGTTGGGGGGCGTCTCGGGGTCACTGTGGGCAGTCCTGCGGCTTTCTCGGGGCCGTCTTGGGGCCCCGCTTGGCCGTCTTGGGCCCACGTACACTCATGAGCGACGCCGAAGGCAGGGCTCGATTGCGAGAACATCGGCCCGCGTCTGGTCGCGCGCAAGCGCCCTCGGTTCCGATGCGATTCGCCGCGCTGGCGGCCCGCGCAATCCACTGCGCAAGGTCGCTACGCCATCGCGTGTAAGAACCGCTTGTTTTCGGCACTCATGCTCTACAGCCAACCCGCATAGCAAGGATGGGCAACCGTCCCAAGGATACCCTTGCATCCTTGCCCCATTCGGCCCATCCTTAGCGACTCTCGCTGGCCAGCCTCGTCCTGAAGACGTCAGCGTGGCCCTCCAAGGCCCTTGCATCCTTACTGCGGATCCTTCTGGTACGGATCGACGGTAGTCCCCCCTTGCGAGCCCCCAACCTTCCGCAAGCCGCCGGCGAAGGCGCGCATCTTCGGCTTCCGCCAGTCGCACGCGCAGGGCGAGGGACCCGCGGCCGTCCACTACTTCAGGCCTTTGGGGGCGGCATTTTGCGGCCGCGGCCGCCTGCCGCGGGCGCTCATCTCGGCCTTTGCTCCGCCCTTCCTCTCACCACCCACCAAACCACCCCAACCCAACCCGAAGGCCTCAACATTGACCTCCAGTTCCAGTGGGGGGGGGTGATCGGGGAACATCGAAAGCACACATGGTCCCCTATACCCCCCCCCCGCCAAACCCGAAACTCGGGTGGGATTCGTGCCTTCGGGTTGGGCTGGGGTGGTCTGGTAGGCAGTCATCCTCTTGGGCGGCGGAACCCTGTGGCAAGCGCTGGCCGTGCCAGCGCTTCCCGCGGTTCGACGGGCGGCAACCCGAGCCGTCGTGCCGCGTCTGCCCGCGGCGCGGCCACGCGCGCGATCTGCAGCGGGAGCCCCTGCCGAGCCATGCCCTGCTTGGCTCGGGGGTGCCCCGGCTCTCTCCTTGGGGCCTCGAGGGGCTCTGCTCCGGAAAGCGCGACGTCCCCACGCCACACGTCAAGGGACGCCCTGGGGTCTCAGGACGCCCTGGGGTCTCAGGGTGCGGCTTCGCGTGGAGGGCTTCTCGTGGTCGAGCTCCCACTGCACCGCCCCCGGCCAGGCTCAAGTCGGGCCTGTCCCCCTACAGGGGGATTTGCGACGAACAAAAACAAATACCCCAAAATAGTCAGAACATAATGCAAAAAGAGTCTGGGGACTATCTTCTGAGTTTTTTTTGTGACCTCCTTTGGGGGGCATTCTTGGGGCATGCTTAACTTTTCGTCGGCAGTCTCCCTGTAGGGGGACACGCCCGACGGCAGGCCAGGCCCACAGCCAGGGGCCAAGGCGCTGTGCACGTCGCCGCCCCCCCCCCCCCGGCCAAGCCGGGAGGGGGGGGGGGGAAGGGCGGCGCACGCACCACCGCACGGACCTCCGAGTTGCTACGTTCGTATCCCTTCCTGTTCCCCGCCTTGCCGTCGGGGCGCTGAAGAAGGAGCCCTCCTCGTTGGAGAGGGGCTCGGCGTGCCCTGATGGTGTTGCAGTTTGCCCTCCGTTTTCCCGAGGTTTTCCACGGGAGATCGCAGCTCAACGTATGGGAGAAAAGGGGCCCCCTTCCTTATGCAAGGTTCCTTGGGTCAACGCCCCGACCGTACCTCGGCTTCCCGGAGGCCGTTCGGGCCGATCCGGGAACATCTCCCGGAGAGCGCCCTCCGCGAGGCGCAGCTGCTGGAGCACACACCCCGAGGCCGGAGCACGGCGGAGATCCCAGGGAGGCGCGCCGAACAAAAACATCGAACCTCCAGCGTGTCGTCTCCCCCCGAGCCCGTCCAAGCCCAGCGTTGCCCTTGAGTCGGGCCTGTCCCCCATACAGGTGGGTTCTCGACGACAAATTAAAAAATACCGCACAAATTGTCAAAACATGCTACGAGAATCGCCTGGGGACGATTTTGCGGTTATTTTGTTGACCTTCTTGGGGCATTTTGGGGGTATTTTTTTATTTTTCGTCTCGGGGGTGGACAGAACCCCCAACAGTGACACGTCGATTAGTGAATTGTCCGTTTTCGGTTCTCGAGAGGGCGCCGTGGCCGTTATTTTCCAGGCGTGCGCCCGCCAGGTTTGGGCCTCAGGTCGTTTTCACTAAACCACGTTCTACTAAAGGGGGGTCTGTCCATCCCCGATCGTCGAAAATCCCCCTGTAGGGGGACGGGCCCGACATATATCCGAGGAAGGCCGGTGCAGGGGGCGGCGGACCCTTCGCCCCGGAGATGGCAGGGCCGTTTCTTCACCGTTTCCAAAAAAAAATGCCCCTTGAAAATTCCTCCTCCTCCTCCTCGTCCTCCTCCTCCTCTTCCTCTTCCTCCTCCTCCTCCTTCTTCTCCTCCTCCTCCTCCTCCTCCTCCTCCTCCTCCACCTCCTCCTCCTCCTTGACCCAGGATCGGTGCATATGCCTTCCTGCCCAAGGTAAGAGGGCGTATGCACCGATCCTGGGCTCAGGATGGTCCTGGCCAGAATCGGTGTATATGCATGGTTCTCTTGCCTCTATTTTTCACCGCTTCCAAAAAAAATGCCCCTGGAAAATGGAGACGGCAAAAAAATGGCGACCGGATACGGCAGAACAACGGCTCCAGGATCCCAGACCCCCTCGAGTAATGAAAAAATCACGACGGGAGGTTTTTCCTAATTTTCGGCCTCGGGGGGCCCTCACCGGGCCTCGGGAGTGGCAAAAAACGACTCAGGATGCAAAGCCGGTCATGGAGAAAGGGTCGGGACCTACGGGGGTCGACGTAATGAAAAAATCATTACGTCGGGGGTCTGGGATTGGAACCGAAGCCGGAACCGGTCAAAGAACGGCGACGGAACCGGTAACAAAAACGGCGTCGGAACCGGCAGCAAAAGCGGCAAAACGGAACCGGTCAAAAGACGGCCTTGTCGTTTCCAGGGCCCACTATGGGGCGGACTTCGCCGCCCCCGCGGTTCCGCAGGACGTGTGCATTGTTTCTCGGCGAGGACCAGTGAGGATCGAGGGGCAGGTTGGATCCTCTGACGAAGAACTTACACACACGCACGACATCGAGCCATGCACGGGGACTGGGCGTCCGAGCGATGGCGTTGAGCTGGACCACTGGCCCTGCTCCTCTCTTGCCTGGCTGCTCCCTCCCCATGGCCCTCTCCTCTGCGGCCCCTCCCCGCCCCCCGACCACCCGCTGTCCGCTCCCGCCCCCCCCCACTCCCCACCCACCCGCCTTCGGAGCGGCAGCAGGAGGAGGAGGAGGAGGAGGAAGGAGGAGGAGGAGGAGGAGGAGGAGGAGGAGGAGGAGGAGGAGGGGTCCGTAGCCATTTTGGCTCAAGTCCGTAGCGTTTCGCTCAGGGCTTGGCCTGCCTGGCAAGGGGGATATTGCGGCCCCCGCCACTTCTGACCCTGCGGGTCAGCATTCTCCATACTGTAACTACGCGCCGTGGGCGCTACTCTCAGTCATTACGTCTCTTCTGGGTACTCGCCTGCGGCCACGGTGCTCATGGGAGTCGAAAAGGAGCGTTTGCGTAGTGACTGGTACTGCAAGGACTGTACGGTCAAGTGGGGCTATCAGAAGGGCAAGCGTGTGTGCAACCTTGGCATGCATCTTCATTGTAAGCAGTGTCAGATGCACAAGCGCAATGTCTTCGGCGGGAATAAGGAAAGTGGAAGCCCCAGCAAGCACTCAACTTCCAAGGCGGCTCCGTCCACGCCCTGGGAAACAAAACGTGTCATTCAGCAGCTGGAGGCAAATATCACAGAGTTGCGGGCTCAACTTCGTGAACGACAGCAGCCACTGCAGTCTAGCCCAGTGCAAGTTGAGCCTACGTTGGAGGTCGACGACCAGGACGATGATTCCTTGGACAGACAACTTGCAGTTTTGGACACAAAGTTGCAGAGGCTTCCTGAGGCGCTTGTCAAAGAAGTCCCTGAGCTGGCAAGTACCAGGAAGGAGCTTGTTGCACAGAGGGACAAGCTGCAGCTGGAAAGACGTGAACGAAAGCCTGTTGGTGTGCAGATCAATGAGGTCAATCGCAAGCTCTACCAGCTGGACCAGAAGATTCAAAAAGCAGAAGCCGCGGCTGATCAGAGGCAAAAGCAACTCAAGCTGCTGCAGGACGCGATCGATGAGGACCAGACCAGCTTGGCCACTCTCCGTCAGCAGCAGGTCACACTTGAAGGCCAGCGAGCGCAACTTGCCGCCACGGCTCTTCGGCCTCCTGCTCAGGCGGCAGAGGGAGCTACGGGTTCGGTGCAGCACGCCCTCTTCAAGCTGGATACTTTAGAGGCGGTTCTCAAAAAGCATGGGGTGGAAGGCGAACTGCTTTCTAAGATCGTTCAAGAGGAGGACTTGGCGAAGCTTGTTCAACCGGTGGTGGCAGAACCTACTGGTAACCTCCTACCACGACCAGTGGCTGTGGCAGCAGGGGCTACATCAGACATGGAGGTTGAACCAGAGGAACTCGCAGATGCCCTCCCTAGTCTACGTGAGGCCGACGAGGAAGCTCTTCGCGATCTCTTTGTCGAATCTGGAGTTGTTGACTCCGAGGCAGTTGCGAAGTTGGATCTCGGGAAACTACGTGCCGCAGCTAACTTTATGCACAAGCGGGTTTCGCGCTATAGCCCATACGAGTGATTGGGCATGGCTGCATGGTGGTTGTTGCCGGCAATATTTTTATGATGTTAATATGACGTGTTCGATTCATGATGGACAACAACAGATGTACAGTCTTGGCGATTTCTGGCAGCTGTACGTGGTATCACGTGAAGAGCTGAGCGGAGCTACGTCGAGGTTGGTCACACTGTTTACGGCAACTGTATGTTCTCTGAGCTTGCAGCCAGGCATGGAGGCCACATTATCAGAGTCCGCTTTCGCTGCTCCCGAGGCGAAGGGACCCCCGTCTTCTGAGACCCAGGACTTCAGAGAACCTAGGGTCCAGGACTTTCCTTTGCGGCCCAACGGCCACCGCGCGGCCTTCTCCCAGGGAGATTTGCCTCGTCGTCAAAAAGGGAAAGGATACTGGAAAAGAATGCGACGGATTAAGGCTCAAGCAGAGCCACCTTCCGCCATGGGTCGTCCACCTCCTGAACTGTTTGATCACCTGAGTCAACAACGGGAGCAGGCCATGGACGACTACGTCACGATGCGTCAGGACTTGCAGTCTTGGGCGGCCATGTGGATGGACGACTTGGTGTTCGGTCCGCGAGGCGACAACAATTGGAGGAGATGGTGTGAACCTTTCCTTGGCGAGATGTTTCGGCGTGGAGGCAATCATGGGCTAAGGGTTGCTCTGTTGCGTTGGTTTCCACGCCGTACTCTTGCTCAGATAATTGAGGAACTATGTGCCAGAGCTTGGAGGCAGGCAGCACCACGTCGCATGGCCTTTTTGCAGCGGCTGGCGGATATGCCACATACGGATAGGTATGAGTTCGAGATGCATCACTGGCGTCAACTTGCTGAGCTTCGGGCCATGACGAGGAGGCTATTGCAAGCTCGCGCGCCTAC